CGTAAGCAGAGGGAGCAGGTTTCCCCCCTCCCTCAGGAATGCAGCCAGCTCCAGTTCCCTAAAGAGACAGGCTGAGGGTGTGGTCCCCTGTGTGCTGGGCCCATCCTAACTGAATGGTCACAGCACAGAGATTTAAATCACAGTGTCACAAGGCAGAGATTTTTGGGGAGAAACCAAGGTGGCTTTCTGCCACAAGCCTTAGTCCATTTGCAGTACCACTGGGTCTCTCTTGGACCCCCAACAGCCTTCATTTGACCCTTGAGCTCAATGGGCTCTTTCATAACTTCAAGAGCTATATGCATATCTGTGCCTCTCCAGAGCACCCATAGCCTTAAGAGATCAATGTGCGACTCCATTCCTCCCCTACACCACACCCCAAGCTTTGTGGGTGTTCTCTCTCTTTGACATTGCCTCTTTGTCCCCTTGGGCCCTCAAACCTCCTGGTTCCTTACATGATCTCCCTCTGAACTCCTGGATCCCTGGTCCCACATGCAGCCCCTCGTCCAGGCTCTCAGACCCTTGGTCCCACACAAAGCCCCCTCCTCCAGGCTCAGGGACCCTCTACTCTGGCTTAGCCTGCTCTGGACTCGTGGACCCTCTGGCCTGGCTCAACCCTTCCCTGGACATGTGGACCCTCTGGTCCAAGTATCAGCCTTTTCCTAGGCTCTTGGACCCCTTACTGGGCCCTACTCTCAGTCTTGTGGGCTCTTAGCTTACTGAGTCTCTAAGTAAGTCTTGAGCCTTTCACAGCAGGGCTCAAGGCTAAACTACCAGTGCCACTTGAATAAAAATAAGCATCTCAGCCCTTTGGTGGATACCTCAATCCCTCTCTGGGTTCAACATAAAACAAAGGCTGGTTTCCTGTAAAATCCAGCCTCTCTCTGCCCAGGTGACCCGCCTCTGTTCCCAGGCCTGCAGAGTTCTTTACATAAGTCCAAGTCCCTTCAGGAACTCTGCAGCTCTGCACCCAGGAGCTCCTTATTTCATGACTGCCAGGGAAATACAGCCTAATCAGTTTAGGCTCTGGGCTTATATAGCTCAAGCCTGAGCCCTATCTTCTGGTCAGATAAGTCTCTCATTAGCCCCTTAAAGGAGCAGGCACACCCCGGTGCCTTGCTACAGTGGTATTATATGAAGTAGTTTGGTTATCTCTTTATTTAACCAGTGTCTATACAAAACTGGATATTTATTCATATAGCCATTGATTTATGTTAATACAAAGCTTTATTAAGTGAGATTTCATTACATTTACAGTTTCATTGCCTATTACTAATAGATCCTCATTCAATTACTTTTGTTGAGTTTTCCATAAAATAATCACCATTTTTATTTGAAAGTGAGGAATTGTCAGTGTTAAGGCTTCTTCATATGTGTTGTATGCTTTTACTAGACACATCCTGTATTTTGTAGGCCATGCTTCCTAAAGAAACATATCTCCTGGCTGGACATGTCTTGGAAGGAGTGGTCCTGTTTTGATAACCCTTTCTCTCCTGCCATGAGGCTACTTTCTGAACCCAAATCTCATCACTAAGTGGTATCAGATTCACATGGAGTCCAAAGCTAGGTCTGAGAAGTGCTGTAACATAATGACTCTACGCATAGGTTAAAATTGGCTAAAAGTGACATTTCCTCCTTGCCTTTCTCAGAACTTTTCTAATTGTGTGCAATGCCATATTGAGTTTTTCTGTATTTTCTTAAAGTGGTATATCAGCAACAACAACCATACTTTTCAAGGTCAGCAAAGGTTTAAAAAGCAAAATATTCATCTAGAATTCCTTTTTTTTTTTTTTTTTACTTTAAAACGTCTTCCATCACAAACTACATAACACATTGGTCCCCTATGAATGAAGTAATTACTCTTTATATATTGTATATGACCCAAAACCACAGTGGCTAATGGAATTGGTCTGCGTTGCATTCCAATATTTCTTTCTTCTTCACTAATGTTCAATACTTTATTAGTAGAGAATAAATTGGTACATTTCTTTTATTGTCATCTTTGCTTTCCTTTATAAACCAGTGTGGATGAGGGAAATATCATTCAGTGTTTAATCATCCAAAGATTCTCTGGTGACACCAGTCCAGAAACTACATTGTCAAGATTTCTTTTGAAGATGTTAAAAGAATTTAGCCACAAAAGACAGGTTGGCTATAAATCAGCAACCTGCGAGGTGTATATATGGTAAAACCATTTCCAATGATTCAGTATAATTTAAAAGCCATAAACACCTGGGGATGGCAAAACATACAAAGTCATTTTGAACCCACTTGAAAGAGTCAGATAGTATTCTCAGTTCATTTGTGAGATTAATAATGAGTTGCTGTTAGTTCAAATAATGTATTAATCAAGCAAAAATGTTTTCTCTGATGACCACAGCCACTAAAGTAAAATATACCCCAAGCTATACAGCATCAGTGGCTCTTTTTCAGTTACCTCCTCAGTATTTATGTAATTTCTTCCTACCTTGCTAATGATACTGATATTCATCTGAGGTACACTATAGCTCCCCTGGATGTGCCTTTCATTTCGTACAGAAAAGGTAGATTCATAATTAACTGTTCATATCACCACAATGTCATTATGAAAAAAGATCTGCTTTATTTATGCAACTACTGCATGCACTGACAGATGAACATGAAAATAATCTGTTTTTTTTTTTCAATAAACTAGAAAGCAAACAATAAGTGACACTCAAGACCAACTGCTTTCTCCAATTATGGTATATGTAGTTTCACCTCTTCAGTTTATATTCCCAGACCCTGTCTTTGCTATAATTAAATTGTAATGAAGAATGTCTTGCATTCAAAACCTTGTCTAACTTTATCCCAACAACATAGTTGTTCCAATAAAAGATACTGCCCTAAGAAATCCTTGCCTCTTGTATAATCAAAATGTGTGAGAA